AAGAGACTCATGGGATGAGGGGCAAGATGCAGGGAGACATACACGAAGGGAGGTGTGTGGAGAAGGTGCGTGGAGCAAGGGGGAGGAGGGGTGTGACTTTCCCTGCCCTCCTGGCTCTGCCCTCCCTGAGCACGGTCTCCAGGGACCTCTACAGGTCCAGCTATACAGACACTGACCAAGTCCTATCATTTGGACTTTTGCGGAGGCTTCATTATATAACCATGATTAATCAGGGATCAATCGACTTTCACCCCCTGATTCTCCCCGAGAAGCTGGGGGTGGGGTACTGAAGTCCTGCCTTGATCTTTCCAGGGACCAGCCTCAGGCCTGAAGATACCTAGAGAGCAGTCTTCAGCTAGTTATTAGCGGGGAAAAAAAAAAAAGGCTCTGTCACTTTGAGGATCCCCTGACTTTTAAGAGCTGTTTACCAAGAACCAGAGATGTTGCCAAATACATGTATTTCACAGTATTTCAAGGTCTGGGTGCTGATCCACCCTAACTCTGCCAGCAGCTTTTGGAAGCAAAGCTTTAGTCACTAAGACAGACTGGAGGTCCGGTGAAGGGTCAGTGTGGACCCAGGAACCTTACTGAGAAACCAATATGGACAAGGCCTGCCGTGTCCCCAAGTCTCTATGGAGGCCCCTCAGCTATACATTGCTTCCCAGCTTTCCCAACCAACACCCTCCCCCTCTTCTCTGGGTTGATGTTATGAGGCCCTCAGGCATAGGTCTCAATATGTTCCCTCACTACCCAGCCTACGGCAGAAACCTCTGGAAGGTTCTCTGCCCATGCAGGGTCTAAGCAGGCCCAAGCCCTATGCACTGGGGCCCTCTGGCTCCCCAGTCTTGGCATAATGGAGTGAAGTATCTCCCGGAACATCAATGTATGGTTCCTGCCTGTTTCTTGGGATTGCCTCAAAGGCATGGTGAGGCAGGCTGCCCAGCTCCTGAGGGTGCCCCAGCTAGCCCCTGGCCTCTCCCTGAGGAACAGGTCTTGTCCATGGTCTCTGTCCACACACAGGGCAGCAGTCAGGCTGCATGTTTCTCCCCCTGGGTGCCCCCTGCCCATTCCCAGCCCACAGCTCTTTAGGAATGATCATTGTCTGTTTCTTGTGTACTTGATGGACCAGGCGCTGAAGCCTGAGACCTTAAAAGACCTGGGTTCGTACAGTGTGGACCCTCCTTGCCCTTCAGCTACAGCCTGGCATCAGAGAGCTGTGACATAGGCTGGGTCGACTGTCACTCGAGTATTGTTCCCGTCTGTAGGCCCAAGGGGTGACCCCCGCGCACTGTCTCCTATGAGGGCTCCCTATCCTGTATAAGAGCCCACCCCATACTCAGCTGCACTCTGTCAGCCACAGAAATGGGAGATCACGGCAGTACATTGTGCCAAGATGTGCTTACAGAGGGGCCTGTACTAGGCAGGTGTCACCACGGAGAAAGGAACACAGGGCAGCCACAACTCAGGGCTGTGGACCTGGGCCCCTCTAGATTTGAGAGATCAATCTGAGCCTCCCATATTCCGTACACTGTGAGTTGGATCAGCCTTTGGGGAAGTGTAAGCCTGTGACCCTCAGGGTGATTTTCAAAGGGGTCTGTAGACCCAGAGAAAACACACACACACACACACACACACACACACACGGAAAATAGATAAAAGTGGGCTATGAAAAAAAATCATTTAAAAAAATAAAAGCCCCCACCGCAGGCCCGTCTTTCAGAATCTGTCCTAACAGATTCACCCAAGCTGGTTAACGGTATTTGCGGTTTGCAAGATGCTACATGTCCTAGGAAAATGACAGACAAGTTATTATCACCTCTCCACTGTCCTCCTGCCCAAACCTGCCTGTGCTGGGCACCCAGCTGCCGAGAGCCAGTGCGAGAAAATTAACAGCCCTGTGCCGTGCCCGCCCTCTCCCGCCCTCTCACCCGCCAACCTGCTCCAGCCCTGCCAGGCAGGGGGCTTCCAGCCAGGCCTGGCCCATCTTGAACTGGGTGGAGAAGGAGAGGGAGGGAAGGAGGGAGGGCGAGAGGAGGAGTCGGAGAGGGGCCACGGTGAGAGGGATGGCTGCTCAGACTACGAGGTCTGGGCAAAGTATTTCCTGTAAGTCCCTCGGAACACACGCATCTGCGCAGGCAAGTCTAGACTGCTCTGTGTCAACAGCCGAAGATAAATAAGATTTTATCAGCTCGGAATCTGTTGAAACACATCCATCTAGCGGTTCAGGGGAAGGAGAGGCAGGAGGAGGGCGGCAGGCATCCACACGTGACCCCTCTGTAGAGGAGACATCTACCAACGGGTCCCTTCCTGCCTCTTCCTCAGACTCCAACCCTGAAGGCTGATCCTGCCAGCTCTGTTCAGGAAGGAGCTGGGGGAGGGCTGGCCTCTTCCTGGGCTCAGGGCTTGGGTAGCCTAGGAATCTTCCCCAGGGGCTGCCAATATTACCCTCTGATGCTCTCAGGTGCAGGGAAGCCTTGTTATCCTCCCTGAAGCTTCCCCACCCTGATTAGGGTGAACTCCCTGGATTCAACCCATGGCTGGGATGAGGCTGGCAGCTGGATGTGCCCCCAGAGACCCATGGGCATTGGATTGGGGTCACCAACCTTGTGGGGAGTGTGATCAGGTTAGTTCTGGGGTGCAGAAATGAAAAGCGACCTTTGCCTTGCCCCGGAGCAGGAGTCCCCGTGACTTTCCCCCTTGGATTGGGTTTCCCTCTGCACTGACTGGGTGAGAGACTGTCCAAACCAAGACTTCTTGGAGTTCCCACAAGCTGGTTCTCACTCCGAGAAGGGACCGTTCCTCTAAAGCTGCGGTGTGGTACCAGGGACAGCTCCCGACGTCTGGAGCACCTCCCCAGGGCGGGGCATCCATGGCGGTGGGGGGGGGCTTTCAACTCTGCTACCCAGCCACGTGTTCCTAGGTTTCCCCAGACCTCCTGGGAATCCCACTTCCAGCCGTGGAGGGCAGTATCGCCTTGTGCCCAGTCCAAGATACCCTTAGGCACAAGAGCCACCTGAGGAACAGGGCTGGGGCCTCCGTTAGCAGTGGCAGTGCACGGCAGGGGGTGCAGCCAAGTAGCCCAGATCTCGGAGGACAAGTGGGCTGCAGGACTGGGGGCAGGACTCCAGGGATAGCACTGAAGGTCAAGCAAGGTTTGAAACCACCTGCTGTGCAGGAGTGGGTGGGAAACCCTGATGCTGTCTCCTGCGCTGGTCTGCACTCTGAGCTTGACTCCCTCCTAGGAACACGGAGGAAGAGCTCTCCTTGCAGGCATGTTAGAGATGCCCAGGAATGCACCTCAGGGCCGTCACACATAGCCTGCTCCCAACTCATCTTGGCCCGGGCTCTTATTGGGTCTAACGGCCCCATCTCAGGACTTGGACTGGAGCACTTAGGAGCCTCTGGGTGGTCAGCCCTGGAAAGGCCACTGTAGGAGATCCCAAGTTCACAGTCTCCATCAGCTGTGCCCGCCCTACCTTACCTGCCGTTGAGAGAAGTCATGGTGGATAAGGTGCCCCCAGACCTTGCTAGCCCTCTGATACACAACTGGCACCTTGGGGTCTCATGGTAAGGCAGTGGTAGACAACTTGGCAGTTCTCATGTACTCTGGGGATGGGGATGATGTCTCTTCCTTTAGAGTGATGCAGTGTTTATAAGGACAGGGGTTCACATACCAGCAATCATCCCCCAGAAAGTAAAATTTACTGTCCTGGCATGGCCCCAAGCTGACCCTTCATGAATACAGCCAACTTCTTTGGCTGCTGACCCTGCTTTTCAAAACAGCACCTCAACCCTCCTGCAGGATCTCATGTGAGAGTCTCTCTTGACCTTTAAACAAGGAAGACTTCCCCTGCTTGCTTGGTGAGCACCTGCATAATGCCCAGGACACATGGGTTTCAGCAAGCCCCTTGTAGGGGACCTTAAGCCTGCGGATATTGGGGGATCGGGAGCCCCCACTGTGCTTGGCAAAGGGAAGGCTGTGGATGTGTGAGCTGCGCTTCCTCTTCCAGGTCCTCTTAGAACATCTCTGGCCTGGTTTCCCCAGCTGTCACATGGATGGTGGTGAGCATTTTCCAGGGTGCTTACAGCCGCTGTAACTCATGATTCTATGTCGGTTTGGGGCACAGAAAGAATGGGGTGTCATAGAAATATCCTTTAAACTTGAGGCCAGGGAACCTCTGCCCTCCCTGGGTAAGGAGTGTAGAGTCCTCAGGGCTGCCAGGAGCCAGAGTGGAGGGTCGGCCAGCATGAAAACAAAGGAACGGTGCTGAAGTGGTCTTAGCAGGGCCGGCTCAGTGCTTAGATGGGTGACCTGGGCTACCGGGTATGGACTTAGAAGGGTTCCATAAGTGGCTTTGCTTTATTTATAAGGCTAGCATCCCCTTGCCCCTGGGGCAAGCCCTGGTATGAACTCTGGTCCCATCAGGTTCTAGACTGGGGGAACTGGGCCTTGTAGTCCCACAGTGGCCTTTACATAGCTGTCTGGACTTGGTGGTTCTAGTTTGGGGAGTCAGTGCTGGTGTGACTGACCGACACGTGAGGTCTGGCTGGTCCAGAGAGGTCTCCATTGGAGGGCCCACCTGCAGAGTGCATTTCCTCTGTGCAATGACAGAAAAAAATGCAATTCTGGGCTTGTAAACCGGCTCGGTGGAACAAACCTACCTCTACAGCCAGACCTCTTTCAGCCTGGAAAGTAAGGCCTAACCCAGGCAGACTGGCTCCCAGCATCCCATCCAACAACTCCTTTCAACAGTGCTGTCCTGTCCTTTAGCACCCTTTGCCCACAGGGTCTACCTCTGAAGCCAGTGGGATCCAGATGAGCAGTGTTGAGTGGGTACCAGGGCATGCCTGCCCATCTTCAAGCTTTGAAGGGATGCCTGGAAAATCTGAGGGGATACACAGGGGCTGGCCTCATCAGAGCACTTGGGAAAGGGATCTCCAGGAGGCGCAGCCCAGGTAAGCTAGGCTGCGGTCTCAACCTGATGCCCCTCTCCCTCCAGTACTCCCCACTGTTGAAGAAGCTGTACTGTCAGATTGCCAAAACGTGCCCCATCCAGATCAAGGTGTCCGCACCACCGCCCCCGGGCACTGCCATCCGAGCTATGCCTGTCTACAAGAAAGCAGAACATGTGACCGACATCGTTAAGCGCTGCCCCAACCATGAGCTGGGCAGGGACTTCAATGAAGGTGAGGCCCAGAGTCCACAGACCTCCCCAGCACCATGGCCAGCAGTCTGAGAGCCACACTTACAGGGAAAGCCTGGCCAGGCACACAAGTGGGAAATGCTGGGCCAGCCAGATGTAGGCTGGCAGTGTGGTTGGCGGTCCCCTCCAGGGGATTTTGAGCAAGTGCCTCCCCAGGTCCTTTTCCGCCCAGCTCTGACTGTAGCCCCAAGAGGCCAGTGTTCCAGCAGGGGTGTGGTCCGGGAGAGCTCCCAAGGACAGTGTGTGGAGTGCCCTTCCAGTGGGCCTGGTGAAGCCTATGTCTTTGCCCTCCACGGGTCAGAAGAACTGGGAACAGAGTCACTGCCAGACTCAAAGGGCACCAGACTGAGGGCTGCATGACCCTCAGCCTTGCCTGGCACTGCCGCTGGGATAGGCCCAGTGGTCCTGGTTTTGCCATGCACCTGGCACAAGGGTGACAAGATAGAGGCCAGGCCTGTCTCTGAAGCTGTGTCCCCTCCTGGCAGGACAGTCTGCCCCAGCCAGCCATCTAATCCGTGTGGAAGGCAACAACCTCTCCCAGTACGTGGATGACCCCGTCACCGGCAGGCAGAGTGTCGTGGTACCCTACGAACCCCCACAGGTAGGCTGGAAGCTAGACTGGGCCACAGAGCCAGCTTTACAAGTTGGCGTCCCTGGGTCCCCGATCCAGGTTCAGCCCATGTCATGGGGCCTTGGGGTCCCTGGGTTCCTGCTCCAGGTTCAGCCCATGTCAAGGAGCCTTTCCTTCCCTGGTACCCGGTACTCACTTGTGACCACATACTATACATACTGACCCTTAGAGCCAGGCCCCAACACGTACTGTACATACTGACCCTTAGAGCCAGGCCCCAACACATATTGTACATACTGACCCTTAGAGCCAGGCCCCAACACGTACTGTACATACTGACCCCCAGCACATACTGTACATATGCACACACTGGGCCTTAGAGCCGGACCCCAACACGTACTGTACATACTGACCCCCAACACATACTGTACATATGCAAATACTGAGCCTTAGAGCCGGGCCCCAACTTTACTGTCTCAGGGCTTCAGCTCTACATTGGGTGTGGGTCACATGACCTCCAGGCCTTTAGCCCTGCCCTCTCAAGAGTGCTCCTCCTGTCTGTTCCTCCATGTGCCAGTCCAGCCTCAAATTCCTAAACATGGCAGTGAGGCAGTGTCCTAGGCATCTCAGACTCCACTGAGATCAAGGCGGTTAGCATGTAGGGGAATGCCAGGCTGGGTGCTGGGGATCACGGAAGGACCCCTAGACCAGCCTGGGGAAGATCCTGGAATGGAACTATGGGGCACCAGAGCTCTGGGCCCTGAGTTCAGGAGAGTAGGGGTTGGACCTTAGCGAGGACCTGTGTACAGAGCCTTGGAAGTGGGGTGCAGGCTGAAGGCCAGAAGACCTCACCAGAGGTGAGGGGACAAGTGGAGGCTGAGGACCAAGCTGGAGGTGGAGGTGCAGGTGCAGGCAGAAGACCAAGTTAGAGGTGAGGTGGCTCAGGGTGAATATGGGGTCCTCAGCTGGAGGTAAAAGGCACAGCCTGGAGGTGGGGGGCTGTCGGTACAGATGAGCAGTCCAGGATGGAGCTGGTGGTTGCAAAAGCTCCTGGAGTGAAGAAAGACAGGTGGATGGGGCGGTAGAGGGTCTGACTTTTAACAACAGAGGGTCCTGCGGTGTGGTAACCATGCTGGGTCTTGTGGAGCTGGTTGGGGTCAAAGGCCCAGGTGGAGGAAAGTTGCACTGCAGGGGTGATGGCGGGTGACATAGAGCATCAGGACAGGTGGCTCTGAGGACTGGGGACAGTTTAGCTCCATCCCTGTGCTGATCTGAGATCTGCCCCCACCCTTTGCCCAGCCCTGTGGTCCTCTCAGGCAGTTTTACAATCAGTTATGTCAGTAGGACTAGGTTCAGGAGGGTTTGCCCCCACACACACACACCAGCACCCCCTCCCCATTCCTCACCTGCTCAGGCTTGTGGAAGAAGTAGGGCTTTCGCGCCCTCTAGTGGCTGCCGGGTGCCGGTTCTGTGAAAGGCTGAAGTTTTCCCAAATCCGGAATGGCTTTTGTGTCCTATTCCAGGGAGACCATGAAAATTGCCGGGTTTGTGATTCTAGGATGTTCAGTGGTCAAGAGCCCTGGGTTCATAAATTGACTCTGCCCCCAACCCCCTGGAAAACAGGGTGTGCTGGGGGATCCTTTGTGTTCTGCTCAAATGAGCCCACAGCATGTAACACACATGTACCACAAAGACCATGCACACACCCACTCACACACAGGCTTGTGTGTCAGGGGAGATGCTGAGCCTATCACAGCATAGACACTGTGTTTCCCTGAGAGCAGGAACCAGGTCTGAGCTGAGTCCAGAGCCAGCACAGTCCTATGAATGTGTGAATCAGTGGGTGGGGAGGCAGTCAAACAAGGGGGTGGGGAGTGGACTGATGGGTGGGGGGACAGGTGGTCAGGTAAGTGAGTAGGTGGATGGGAGGGAGGTGGGAAAGCGTGGAAGTGGGTAGATAGGTGAATAGATAGGCAGGCACGTGAATGGGTGGGTGAGTGGGTGGATGGATGGAAGGATGGATGATGGATGGATGGATGGGTAGGTGGATGGATGGAGGGAGGATGGACAGAGGGAGGGAAGGAGGGAGGGAGGGATAGCTGGGTGGGCTGATGGATGGATGGGGGGTGGGTGTGTGGACAGATGTATGGATGGGTGGGTGGATGGATCGGTGGGTTGATAGATGGCTGGATGGATGAATGGATGGATAGATGGGTGGGTGAAGGGAGGGAGGATGGGCAGAGGGAAGGACATAGGGAGGGTTGGATGGGTGGGTGAACTGATGGATGGATGCGTTGATAGATGGCTGGATGGATGAATGGATGGGTTGGTGAATGGGTTGATGGATAGGTAAACAAATGGATAGATGGGTGGGTGTGGGATAGATGTATGTATGTATGTATGTATGGGTGGGTGGGCTGATGGATGGATGAATGGATGAATGAATGGACAGATGGATGGACAGATGGCTTCTGGGAATGGGGTGAATTAAATGGGTTGTAGTGGCTGATACTGTACATGCTGTCCTTGGGGACCCAATCACTGTAAATATTATTAGTGTTATATTTTATTCAAGGTGCAACACAGATAAGAAACTGAGTTCTGGGAACAGACCAAGGACAGGATTGCAGAAACCCTTGGTATGTCAAGAAGCCTTACCCTCCAATTCCAGAGGTACAAGCAAGCAGAGGGACGTGGGGACCACAAGTGAGCAAGTTGGGTTTTACCTGCCCTGTGTTCTCTGCAACTTTCACCTTCCCATTACTCCTTCCTGCCTTGGTGCCCAGAGAGGACAGAGACAAAGTGGAGCTCACACCACTCCAGTTTGGGATGCAGGAGGGAACACTGCACATTCTAAGGACCTTAAGCTGAGGCTTCCAGTGACTGGCCATGCCAGGTGCTTCTGGGCTGTGGGTCCCAGTGAAAGCCAGGCTGTCCCTGTGGGCTCAACATTGGTTGGTGAGACCCTGAGGCTGACTGTAGAGATGTGGAACCCTGGGCATCTCAGCTGAAGGCTCTGCCCTGAAATCTGGTGCCTTCCTCCCAACTAGTTCTTGGAGCTACCTGGTGTGGACCACTAAAGGTTGGAGGGCTGTGCTTAAAAGGGACCAAAACTTGGCAGTCCTGGGGGTTTTGAGACCACAGTTAAGAATCCTGGGGGCCACAGAAGCCATGATGAAGAGGATAGGGAGGGGGGCCACAGGACAACTGTGAGCAGCAGGCTTAGGGTTCAGGTGGGAAATGAGGTTAGGAGAGAAGTGCATGGGACCTGGGGTAGGTCAGATGATAAGAGATACACTTTTGTCTTGCCATTTTTCCCTTGAGATAAAACTCACAGGTTATAAAATTTGCTACCTTAGCTGGGTGTGGTGGCGTACACCTGTAGTTCCAGCACTTGGGAGGTAGAGGCAGACAGATCTCTGTGAGTTCAAGGTTAGCCTGGTCTACATAGTGAGTTCCAGGACAACTGGAGGTACAGGGAGACCCTGTCTCAAAAAGACCAAAAAAAAAATTTGCTACCTTAAAGTGCTAATACAAAGCAGATGTGGTGGCCCAGCACTCGGGAATCAGAGGCAGGTAGATCTCTGCGAGATGGAGGCCAGACTGATCCACATGGGTGGGTGGATGGATCGGTGGGTTGATAGATGGCTGGATGGATGAATGGATGGATAGATGGGTGGGTGAAGGGAGGGAGGATGGGCAGAGGGAAGGACATAGGGAGGGTTGGATGGGTGGGTGAACTGATGGATGGATGCGTTGATAGATGGCTGGATGGATGAATGGATGGGTTGGTGAATGGGTTGATGGATAGGTAAACAAATGGATAGATGGGTGGGTGTGGGATAGATGTATGTATGTATGTATGTATGGGTGGGTGGGCTGATGGATGGATGAATGGATGAATGAATGGACAGATGGATGGACAGATGGGTGGATGGATGAATGGATGGATAGATGGGTGGGTGGGTGTGGATAGATGTATGTATGTGTGGGTAGATGGATGGGTGGGTGGACTGATGGATGGATGGATGAATGGATGGATGGACAGATGGATGGACAGATGGGTGGATGGGTAGATGGGTGGGTAAATAGATGAATGGTTGATGGATGGATGGAAGGATGGATGGATAGATGGGTGGATGGATCAATGGATGAGTGGATGGATAAATGCATGGCGGGTGGGTGGATAGATGAGTGTGTAGATGGGCTGATGGAAGAGTGAGTGGATAGATGGATGGATGAGTGTGCTTGGGCAGAATCAGTCGATGGTGGGTAGGTGGATGCATAGGTGGATAGACAACAGAACCACAGTGTAGCATCCCTAACCCGTCCAGATCCTAGGCCAGATGCAGCAGTTAGGAGCCCCTTCTCCAGTGGGTGATTCCAAGCCCTTTTTCTGCCTCCCCTGTGGACAGGTGGGAACAGAATTCACCACCATCCTGTACAACTTCATGTGTAACAGCAGCTGCGTAGGGGGCATGAATCGGCGACCCATCCTCGTCATCATCACTCTGGAGACCCGGGAGTGAGTCTGCGGTGACAGGATGGTAGAGGTGGGGCAGGGACTTGGGCCGGCCCTGTGGGGGGACTTGTCATGGACACAGGGAGGTCTTGCTCTCCTCAGAGGGCACTCGGCCCCAAGGCCAGTCTTTGGGGTCTTCATGGGGTGGACAGGGGCAGAAATGGTCCCCGAAGCTCAGAGTTCTGCCTTGCTCCCCCAACAGTGGACAGGTGCTGGGCCGCCGGTCCTTTGAGGGTCGCATCTGTGCCTGTCCTGGCCGTGACCGCAAAGCAGATGAAGATCACTACCGGGAACAGCAGGCCCTGAATGAGAGTGCCGCAAAGAATGGGGCCGCCAGCAAGCGTGGTGAGTGGGGCTCTGGGTCGGGTTGTGGGTGGAAGGTGGGCCATACCTCAGAATGAGGCTGGACACAACTGGGTGGGGGCCTGGGGTGGCACCCCAATAGGGCATCATGCACACCTGCATCCAGGGGATCCAGTTCTGAATGACCTGGGCATAGAGGCTTCTCTGGCTGAGACGGGCAAGCACAACCCAGACAACTCTCTTATCCCTGTGCCCTGAGGCTAGGGCCCATGTGGTGCCCTGAACCCAGCTCCATATGGTCCAGGTTTGCCCTTGGACCCAGGCTACATTCATGGTCAGCTCACCTGGAAGAGGCAGGTGTTTCCCACCTGGGCCCCTCAGCCTTTGTCCCCTGTGTGTGCCTGGCTCATGTGTTTTTCCTGACCTGAATTCCTCCAGCATTCAAGCAGAGCCCCCCTGCCATCCCCACCCTGGGTGCCAACGTGAAGAAGAGGAGGCACGGGGAGGAGGACATATATTACATGCACGTGAGTGGGCACTTGGCTGTCAGGCGGGCCTGGGAGGACAAGGCCTGAGTGGTCCCATCATCCAAGAGCCCAGGCTGGAGAATCCTAGAGGCCACAAGAGAAGGGCAAGGGTAGCCTGGCACATCTTAAGCTTCAAGGGCTAGAGAGATGGCTCAGCAGTTAAGAGCACTGGCTGTTCTTGCAGAAGATCTGGGTTCCAATCCCAGCACCCACATGGCAGCTAACAATCATCTGTAACTCCAGTCCCAGGGGATCCGACAGCCTCTTCTGTCCTCTGTGGGCATTGCACGACACGGGTGCGCCTACACACATGCAGGCATAACACTCATTCACGTAAAATAAAAATAGATAAATCAAACAATTTTTTTAAAAGGACTAAGACTGTGGCCCTGAAGGAGGTGGGGCTCAAAGGGAACTCTTTTCAGAGTCAGACCCTACAGGGTCTGAATGCAATGAGGGCAAACGGGCCAGCCAGGTTAGCAGCAGCCCATCAACAATATCTGAAGGTGCCTGTTACGATTGAAATCCTCAGCATGGAGATTCAGTAGGAACCCACAGTCCCACAGGGTGATGGGTGGCAGCTTTTTTATGTGACTCAGTGGCCACTGGCTGGTGTTGAGATCATAGAGCTCTCTGAATAACTGGTTTTCATGTCTTCAAGAGTGGGTTCCTGGTTTAAGACCCATAGCTGTGGAGGCATAACCCTGGGAGGGAGAGGAGAAGAGACCCTGGGCAGGGAGGAGTGGACATGGTTCCCCTGGACAGGGACCTCCATCCCAGGCCTGCTCCTGAGAAACGGAAAGGGTGCCAGGGCCTCCTGAGCTTTGGGGGTGCCACGAACTCAGAAAGAGCCATGTTTTGCCACAAGCCTGAGGTCCTCCTAAGGCTGTGGCTGCCCCCCTCCCACGGGGGGTTCAGGGCTGATGGAGTCTCCTGTGCACCTGGGCTGAGGGTCTGCCTCTCTCTGCTCAGGTGCGAGGCCGGGAGAACTTCGAGATCCTGATGAAGGTCAAGGAGAGCCTGGAGCTGATGGAGCTTGTCCCACAGCCTCTGGTCGACTCCTACCGGCAGCAGCAGCAGCAGCAGCTTCTGCAGAGGCCGTAAGTGAGCCCCTCCGCCTGGATGGGGAAGAGGGGACTGCGGTCCAGCAGGGAGAAGGCCAGAAGCACAGGACGTATGGGTCATGCAGCTGGACAGCAGGGCTAGGGCAGCTTAGTCCTCTCTTGGCATCCTGTCCTCTAGGAAGCCTTCAGGGACCACAGGCTGAACTGGGACCCTGGGTCCCCACCTTCACCACACTTCTGCCTCCCAGAGGCCTTGTAAATGCTGATGAGGGAGAAGGGAGGAGAGAAAAGGGACGCAGGAGGTGGTGAGGTGTAGCTTTGCTGGTGATTTTCTGAGTGGCAGGATCTTCGTCCGCCTGCCTACACAGGTGTCCACAGAGGTGCCCAGGTGAGGGAGTTGCTGCCTTTGCCTCCCACAAATGCACACTGTTGCTTTCCAAGCAGGAGCCACCTGCAGCCTCCATCCTATGGGCCCGTCCTCTCCCCCATGAGCAAGGTGCATGGCGGCGTCAACAAACTGCCCTCGGTCAACCAGCTGGTGGGCCAGCCTCCCCCACACGGCTCAGGAGCTGGGCCCAACCTGGGTCCCATGGGTGAGTCTCTGGGAGAGTGGAGGCCCTGGGTGGGCTGGAGAGACCCACGGGAGGACCTGGCTGGAGACATCCCAGCATGAGTGAGACTGGAGGGGGATTCATGGCTGCCTTGCTCCCAGGAGATCCAGCCTGGAGGACAGGTTGGCTCTGTTCAATCCAATCTGGTGAGGTTCTGTGGCAGGGCCGGGGGCGGGGTACAGAGGCCGTATGGTAAAGAATGCATGCCTCCCAGGCCTGGCCTGCCCTCCATCCTGGCAGCCAAGGGATCTAGAAGAAGACTCCTGGACTCCTTCAGCCTCAGTTTCCCCATTAGCAAAACCACAATATCAGATTCCCTTGTTTCAAGATTCTAGGATATGAGACCTTGTTGGGGTCCAGCACCCACAGGGAGCTAGGTAGAGTGGAGTCTGGGTCTCTTCAAAAGTTCCTTATGTGGACACTGATGGGCACATTCCGGACACTGTGACCAACACCCCAAGGCGTGTCCTGAGGCCCCGGGATAAGGACCTGGTAACACTCAAGTGCCATCTGCCATCACTGTCATCACTCATGACTCCCTGAGTTGAGCGTCCTGCACACAGCCACCCTCCACCCCTCCCTCCTGGGGAGAGGAATTGGGTCCAGGGCTTCAGCACTTGCTCAGCCCCAGGCCAGCCCTTATAATACTGGACTGTAGTCTGGGGAGGGGGGGCTACTCCCAGATACCTGGCTTGGCCAGCCCTGACAGTCAGACCTGCCCTTTTGCCCAGGCTCCGGGATGCTCAACAGCCACAGCCACGCCATGCCAGCGAACGGTGAGATGAATGGCGGCCACAGCTCCCAGTCCATGGTCTCAGGATCCCACTGCACCCCGCCACCCCCCTACCATGCTGACCCCAGCCTCGTCAGGTGCGTGGGCGGCCGCTGGACCTGGGTTTGTGCCACAGTTCCCCCTTCTCTCCCCCAGACTGTGTGTCTCCTTCGGCAGGAAGCGGTCTTGCATGCAGCCCCGTCCTGTCCTGTGTTTTAATTGCTTGGCTGGCCCAAGGAAAGATGACAGTCTGTCACGTCATGACAGCATTTATCTGCAGACACTGGGGCAGGCCCTTTGAGAGGAGCGAGCTTAGCCAGGGTTCCTGGGCTGGGCACTCCTGCCCCAAAGGGCCTGCAGCTTTTCCAAGTGCTGGGACTGCTCTTCCAAGCGGGCAGCGGGATGCCAGAGTCACCCAACTGTCAGTTTACTCCCAAGCTGGGCCACTCCCTGTGAGGCGTGGGAGTTAATGGCACCGTTTTTTTAAATTCTCTTTGCAGTTTTTTAACAGGATTGGGGTGTCCAAACTGCATCGAATATTTCACCTCCCAGGGGTTACAGAGCATCTACCATCTGCAGAACCTGACTATAGAGGTAAACGCCTGTCGACCCCTCCCCGTGTGGTGGAGGGCCTGGCCTGAGGCAGAGTGCTCCAGTTAGGATGGCTAGCTGGGGGAATTCCCAGAACCTTCCTCACAGGCAAGCAGATTCTGCAGACACTGTCCTGATTGTAGCTCTCAGAATCCAAGGCAGGCTCAGGTGACAGGAAGGAGGCTGGGTGGACACAGCTGGGTGCCCCAGCCTCCGGAAAATGGCCAGGATGGTGTTCTTTCTTTTTGGGATTCCCCGGTACCCCGGTCAGGCTGCTTTGATTACCTGAGTTGGGCTGTTTCTAAGGTCCAAGAGTTAAGGAGTGCAGGAGCTGGGGGGAAACTGAGGCCAAGAAAATGTGATTGAGGCCCAAAGCCAACTGCACACACATGGCACAGAATGTTCTGGGTTGAGCGTGGGCTAGACGGGGCCTGGACATCAGGACATTAGGACCATAGCCCTGGCATCCTGTCCCGTGGCTTGCTTACAACCTGGTAACACAGTCAGCTTTGAGACGTCCACAGGACAAAAACGTCCACCTTGGAACCCCAGGGGCACCTGCTTGGTACCTCCATTCCTGCTCCCTGGCCTCTGCCCTGACCTACATCAGAGGCCAGCCCACATCTGTCCTCTTCCCTGGACCCCAGGCAGGAGACACAGACTTGTCCAAGGCAGTCTAGGGCCAGTGCCTAACAACCCGCATCTGTATGACCACTGACAACCTTCCTTGACCCCCACCTTGAGTCACATATTAACCCTCGCTAGTGGAATTCGTGTGCTTGGAGCTCAGGGATGAACCAAAACCAGCTGTTAATTAACGGGCACCAAAGGGTTAGCCCCGCGACCAAGAGACAGGTGGTCTTCGGGCCTCCATCTCTCCTCTCCCTATGGTCCAGGCCCCAGGATGCACGCAGCCCTGGAGAAGCTTCTCATCACCGTCCCCTTTAAAATCCACGCAAGTCACTTAGCTCCCCTACAAAGACATGTTTCCAGACACCATGTGCAGGTGGCCCGGATGCTGCCCCGCTCTGGGCTGTTCTCGGTTGCTCATTCTCCCACAGTGTCCCGTTCTAACCAGACCCCCTGAAGCTGGGGCTTCCTTACCGGTGGGGCATCCCTGGTGGGGGCAGAACACAGCCCTGTGGCTGTTCCTTTGTCATCCTAAGGTGGCCTTCACTCTTGCAGGACCTTGGGGCCCTGAAGATCCCTGACCAGTACCGCATGACCATCTGGAGGGGCCTGCAGGACCTCAGACAGGGCCCTGACTGCGCGCAGCAGCTGCTGCGCTCCAGTGGCAACGCGGCCACCATCTCCATCGGCAGCACCGGCGAGCTGCAACGACAGCGGGTCATGGAGGCCGTGCATTTCCGTGTGCGCCATACTATTACCATCCCCAACCGTGGTGGCCCCAGCGGAGTAACTGGCCCTGATGAGTGGGCAGACTTTGGCTTCGATCTGCCGGACTGCAAGTCCCGTAAGCAGCCCATCAAAGAGGAGTTCACGGAGAGCGAGAGCCATTGAGGGGCCGCCTTTTCCTCTGGGAAAAACGATCTTGGGAGTGGGCCCCAGCAGCAAGGACCTCCCGCCAGGCGCCATTTTCCAGCGGATGTTGTTCAGTCATGGAGGTTGCCACGGAGGACAGCCTGAGCTACCCCAGGGATCTTCTGGAGCTGTCCTACCTACATGTACACAAGGGCCAGGTGTGGGCCAAACACTGAGGCAGGGGCTGTCCCTGTGTGAGGTGGGACACCAACATCTCTCTGGAACACTCTGCCATCTCCGGCCGGAGTGAGAACCCTCTCTCACCCTCTGCCACAAAGTATTTCCAGTGTCTCCTGGTTCGCAGTAGCCATGAGCAGCCAGGCCACTGTGTTGACTGTACTTATTCAGTACAGGTTGATTCCAAACTGTGTCTCTGCTGAAGGAGAAGGTGGGGCCGGGGACTCCTCTGTAGGACATGAGGACAGGTCTGTCCCAAACATGTCATTCTGCACTGCTCCTGTCTTTCCTGCCCAGGACAAAGAGTTTAGTTTGCTGGGATTAGGGAAGATTGTGGCGGACGAAAATTCAGCCTCCAGCCAGCACCCAAAGCATGCTGGCCACAGCCTCCTCTGGTGACCCCTCAGGAGACAGAGGGACAGCTTGAGGCTCAGACTACTAGAGATTGTCAATATTTGATAAAACATTCCTCTTTCTACGTGGTGGGTCAGCTTGCTTTCTTGTCTTTTTTCCCTAACTTTTATTCACAATGCTCCCTTCTGAGGTCAGTATAGCACGTTCCTGGCTTTTCCATAAGCTGTGTCAACAAGGGAGTCTAAGGAAAATGACAAAACAGGCAGGGTCAGCACTTGTCACCAAGATGGCTGGATGGGAACGAAACCTAGAGAGAACACATCCTTGGAGGACCAGAGTAAACCTGGCCACAGTCAGCACAGATCGGCTCTGAAGGGAACACCTCTGCTCACCCTCAGGGTTCAGAGGCCAGGCTCTGTGCCTGAGCACTGTCCTAACCCCATGGAATAGCACTGGGGCAGGTGCTGGGGGCCCAGGTCTTCATGAAGCTCTCCAGGGAGTGAGTGGGTTTGGACAGACAGCTCCTGCATGTCCTCAGCTGACCTGGCCCTTCCCCACCTGCCAGGAACTTCCTGAGCAGGAAGCCAGAGCACCAGCAGTCTCCCCCGGAGTGGGGGACCCCACAGGAGCTCCTGTGTGCAATGAAGCCAGATGGCCATCTGCTGCACAGTGGGGTGGCACGCTTCGGCACAGGTTACTGGCCTTCTGCCAGGGCAGTGGGGCATCGTTGGTTTAGGCCTGGCTCTCATTAGCACGAGAGGCAGTGAAGCCCCTGGGAGGAGGGCAGTGTGGTTAGCCCCACCAGGACAGCCTCCTAGAAGGAGCAAGGATAGATGCTTCCAGTCTTACTAGGCTCTGCAGACTCAGGTGGCCACCACCCACCCGATACTTTCTGGGACTCTGAGGAGGAAGAACCAGGGTGCACTTGGGGTGGGCACAAGCATCAATCGGGCTGCCAGAGACTCCAGCTGGAAGCTAGAGCTGACCATGTGGGGCCTCCTGACCGGGCAGGCTTCAGCAGCTCTGCCTGGGTGGGTGGGGGGCAGTCTTCCTGGAAATGCATACCTACACTCAGATGACCCACAGTAACTGCAGCAGCTGGCTCAGAGCTTCCTGGGTACAGGATGTGGGCCATCCTGGCATGTCCTAGCTCACCCCCACTAAGCCTAAGGGTGAGTATACTCTTTCTGATGTTATACAGATGAAGAAACTGAGGCTGGACCAGTTGAGTCCCCAGCCTCAACCATCAACTTGTGGGAGATCTGGGTTGGAGACTGGGTGCTCGTTTGAGGCCATATATGCTACTCTGTGCCACCTTGAAGCCCTGCAGATGCATCCCCACCCCTCGGTTCATGAGCCCCGCTGAGCGAGATGTGCTTGAGTTCTGGGGTTCCACATGACTATGTCTCTCGGGCACTTTCCCCGTTGGTCCCAGTCTATGAGGGACCATTCCAAGCACCTAGGAGGTGGGTGGCTCAGAGACGGCTGTCACTAGACATCTAGGAAGAAAGAGTCCTCTCCAGTGGGGGGGTGGGTGCTGGGCTACATATCTCCTCAGACACTGCCCAAAGCATCAAAGTCATTTGATGAGCCTCCACAGTCCTGGTGGCATGCTTGGAGGGCACCTCAAGGGACCAGCTGCTGGTAGACTTCACAGAATCCTCATCAGGGCTGAGAGCGTATTCTGTTCTCCAGGAACCAACACTCTAGAATCTGAACCCTTTGTTCTGTGAGAGCCAGAAAGCAAGAAAAAACCAAATCTTTAGAGCACAAGGTTTCCCATCGGCACTGAGGTAACCTGGAGGGGAGATTGCGGGCACCCTGGAAGACATCTAGTGAGCAAGGTGTGGCCCCAGAGCTGGACAGGCAGGCCACTCTGCCCTCAGCCTGTGGTCCCAGGAAGCCTCACATCCAACCAACAGCTCTCACGTCCCTCCCTGACGTAGCTTACCATGTCCAAAGGCTCTGGACTGAGCTGCTTTGAGGTCACCGCAGGAATCCTGCAAAGGGTAAAACTTGTCACTTGGAACTTGTCAACGTTTCAGTCAGTAAAAGCACTTTAATGCTTTAAGGCTTAAAAAAAAAACTGTCCATGTTTCAATGTAACATAATGCTTCTTCAAGCAGTATTAAGGGATATATTCCAATGAAATTATTAACTGTTTGGGGTAATGTAATCTTAGAAAAATGTGGGGGTTTTTTAGCTGTGTTATGTGGGAATTTTTGTTTTTGTAACATAATAAAAATCTCATGTTCCCATGACTAGCTCTTGTGACTAACCTGTCGTCCAGGCTGGAGAGGAGCATCGTGGGGTGCTCGGCACAAAGGCAAGCACAGACAGGCAGGAAGCGTGTGGTCCTGCACTGGCTCGGGGCACCCACTGAGTATCTGCCTCGGCCTTGGGGAGGGAGGCTGTCTGGGGATTGTGGACACACTAACGGGTGTGAGGTCAGCACGTCCACCTTCTCAGCAAGACTACAGGCAAGCACACTGTCTCCTGTCAGCTCCACACACACCTCATTGCTGTTCTCCTGGGTCTCAGATTTTCTTGTTTTTCAGACTGTGAACTCGTATTAGCAAAAATAAGGCTTTAAAAATCTATTCAGCTTCAAGGGAACTTCTGAAAATTGGATAAAGTGTAAGCCAGGCATGGTGGCGCATGCCTTTAATCCCAGCACTTGGGAGGCAGAGGCAGGCGGATCTTTGTGAGTTTGAGGCCAGCCTGGTCTACATAGTGAGTTCCAGGACAGCTGGGGCTACAGGGAGACCGTGTCTCAAAAAGACAAACAAACAAACAAAAAAACAAAAAAAACAAAACTCTGATCTATAGTCTTTTGTGTTTCCTGAGGGTATATTGTAGACATGGGAAAGTGGAACTGGTACTAAGTATCCTGGAGTGGAAGCTGAGCTGCCTGCTTTCTTGAAAGATGTGGGAATGGGCTCTTTAATGAGCCTTGCAGTGAATACTGGCCACCAGGTTTGGAAGCCAGGTGACAAGTTGGGCCAAAATCTCAGGGGCATGTTTCGTTGGGTACCCTGGTAGGGAGGAGACCCTTGCTCCCCAGCTCTATGGACATGGGTCACATGGAACACGTAGGCTGACTTGAACTGTTAAGCCTCATTCCTGACCCAGCTGGGTAGTGCTATTCAGGGCAATTATTTCTGCCTTTCAGACTGACGCAGCATTACCAGGAAGGGGACAGACTCTCTGATGCTGCATGGCTCGCTGTTGCACACCCACAAAGTCATGTCCTACTTCCATAAAACTGTCATCCACGCATGAAGCAGGTGGCCCCAGGGTGGACCAGTGAGACCATGTAGATCTTGTGAGGCAGGTGAGGGCGATTGTCTACACAGGAATGCTGTTCAGAGGCCTCGGGGTTGAGATCTGGCAATAAAGGAGAGGATTTAAAGCTTAGCAAGGTTTTAGAGTAAGCTCTGGAGTTTGTAGGGAAGGGTCTGGTACTTGCTGGTCCTGTTTTCCGAGGCAGTAGGATCCCAAGCTGAGGGTTTCAAGGTGTCGTAGGATAAATCCGAGTAAGTCTTTGCTTTGGTTAGCATTCTGCTGCTGTGATAAAACACTGGTCCAAACCAACACGGCGAGGAAGCAGTTTATTCCATCTCACCATTTCCAGTCTACCACGCAGGGAAAACAAGGCCGGAGCCGACCGTGGAGGAGCGCTGCTCACTGGCTGGCTCCGCTACCTTTTTTTTTTTGTAGAATAGTTTTTAAAATACTTCATTTATTATTTTTATTTTATGTGTATGTGTGCATTGCCCGCATGCAGGCAAGTGCACCCGTGTCATGCAGCGCCCGCGGAGGACAGAAGAGGCCGTTGGATCCCCTGGGACTGGAGTTACAGTTGTTAGCTGTCATGTGGGTCCTGAGGACCTGACGAACCCGGGTCCTTTGCAAGAGCAGCCAGGGCTCTTTTTAAAAATATTTTTTATTTGTTATTTTTGTTTTAGGTGTATGAGTGTATTGCCTGTATGTAGGTAAGTGTACCTGTGTCGTGCAGTGCCCACAGAGATCAGAAGGGGGCATCGGCTCCCCTGGAACTAGAGTTATGAATGATTGTTAACCGTCATGTGGATGCTGGAAACTGAAGCCAGCTTCACTGCAAGAGCAGTCAGTGCTCTTAACCACTGAGCCATCTCTCCAGCCTTCAGCTATCTTTCTTATACAGCCCAGGCCCACCTGCCTAGAGATGGTACTGCCCACAGTGGGCTGGGCCCTCCTATATCAATTAGCAATTAAGAAAATGCCTCACAGGCCTGCGGTAAGAGGACAGTCCAGGTAAGTTGCTGAGCAGAGGGTCATCCCATTACAAGGCATTAAATAGGTACAAAGAGTCTGGGTGGGTGGGACACAAAAGAAGTCATACCTTAAGGTTGTGACCCAGCAGGTACTGGAGGGTGTCTAAGTCAAGAGAGTTTAAGGATTAGAAACTGTGGGGTGAGTTGAGGCCACAGCCTCTTATGGCTTGCAGGACTGGACCATTCTGTAGGATCCACCTCCCTTCCTTCCTCCCAAGGTAAGATTG